GCATTTTCATATATCAGGCAAATGTATCTGAAAGGGTTATTGAAAAGCAATGTGGAAGCATTGCATTCTAAAAGCCATTGTGTTCCTATCACTGTCTGATTGGAGTCATGTGAAACTACATTAAATCAGAAATTAAAAGTCTAACAAACTGAAAACTGAAAGGTTTACAGGACATATGTTTCCAGCTGTACACTGTACAACATGACATTATATTTAGAAAAAGACACACACAAAACTGGAAAAAGTCATCTTGTGTCACTGTTGTGACATACTGTACTAAAGTAACCTGTTTATGTTATCAACAAAGAAGAACAAAATAAGAACTTTCAATGACACTGCTCAGACATGTGAACTGTATTGTAAGCTCAGGAACAGTTCTGTTAATAGTGTTCAAAATGGGAAAGTTTGAATTTAATTTGCTTCCCTTGTTGCTGGTCATTGTCACCTACAGTTAGTAAATCCTAACCTGTTACCTCTGCTGCTTCTGAACATTTGAGAGATGCATGCACTAAAGAACAGAACTAGAATGTACAACAGTAGGGACATTTCAGAGTTTATCCAAGTGTTTAGTCATATTTTTCCAATGCATAATGTGTACCAAGAAAACAGCAGAAATACATTTGCAGGTGCAGAGTAAAACAATTTATGTTGTATTAACCTTGCAAAATCCTAGGCATGATGTTCAAACTGCTCACAATTATTATTTACATTACAATGATAATGATGATAAGGTTTTAATCTAATTATTTTCTGTTTTTCATATGAAGATATAAGCAAATGAGTTGTACTGTATATCTGAGTACTGACAAAATATTAATTCCCTTCTCATCCTTAAATTACTTTTCTCAAAATAAGAAAGTATTACTAAGCACCATTTTAAGGAGTCCAGACATATTTGCATACATTGTTCTGAAGCATTGTTATTGAAACAGTGTTTGCAAAGACTTAGAAAACAAATTAAACAAAACTCGGTCTGGACAGGGAACTAAGCAACTAGGCGATTTGTTCTTCATTTTCTAGTAATAATAGTAATACGTCATAAGTACCTGACATACACAGTTGCTAATGATAAAGTATAAATAAAGGGTTTATTAAAGAAATTATTAACTATTTATTTCACTGATATTCTTGTTAATATTATTATTGTTGTTGTTCTTCATGTTTACTATCTTCAGTACAAAATGAAAGTGGAGATAAAGTTCTTACAAATCTTAGGTGGTGAAAATACCGCGTTTTAAGAGACGGAAAAAAAATCAGACGTCATAAAAAATCCTTAGACTGGTAATACATTATACCAGATAAATTACACGTGCGCTAAAAACGGAAATTTCTTATAGATCCTACACATGAAAAAATAAAAAATGCATTTTCTTCTCAATCAACCAATTGACAAAAATATTTGCCCCTAATTCCTATCATATTGACAATAAAATGCAAATGCATACATAAATATCAGATCTAAATCGAATTTACGTCACCAACCAATTCCTAAATAATGTGCATTAATATCACATTGCTGTAATACCAAATACTTTAAAATGATTATAATTGGGTTGCTGAATAATTAAAAATATAAATATATTCGAAAAATGTGTGAACATAAATCCCAGATAGATCTACTTTATGAGAAGAAGAAAGCTAAAAACTGACGATTAGATTTATGTTTATTTTACCATCACGCCACACAAAAAGAATATTACCATGAATTATCACTTGATGTTCAAGTGTTAAAAAGAAAAGCCCTCTCGATCAACCAGACCTCTGCAACTGAAAATTAACGTGGATGAATATCCATCCTTAATTTGGGACTTTATCTTAAACCTTATGAAAATTAAATTTAAAGACGTTTAAACACGAATCACCAAAACCACATCCGTATTCTGAGAAAGACATTAACTCTGACGTTCTCGAAAATAATAAAACGACCTTACCGAAAACATGGTCAAGTATTTTAGCAGTTAATAGCAAATGAACTAGTGATTTTAAAATATTTTTTTCTGGAGCATACGAGAGTTCTTCCTCTTAAGATCCAATTTTTAAACAATATACTGTATATCGCAGATGGTTTATTTTCTTGTAACTATATACACGACTTGATTTTTAGTATATACAGTATAGCTTTTCTATACGCTAAGCTACATAAGCTTACATATAGCTTTCTTAGATAAAAATGAATGTTTTCTCTACATTTCAATATAAATCATAAGAAAAATCAATCTATTGCTTTAGTAGTCTGGAAGAACAAGTAGTAAGCTACTAATTCTAAATGTGTTTATGAATAGAAATTATTTGCATAAACATTAATGAATTGCACTCCATCTATTTTTCTTAAACATAAACTTTTTATATATTATAATATAAACTTTGCGCCCACGTATGCTGTGTTTAGTCTATTATTTTTTATCTGCAATCCGGAATCAATTTGTCAAATGAGTTACTCCGTTTACAGATGAATTCATTTAAATCACGACAACCAGTATTCGCTTTATAAAAATAAAACACTGTAGTAATCAGACTATTCTTTTACAAAGAAATCCTAGCTTTCTTGTGAATACTCTTCTTGACTGCCCCGACTTCAGAGAATCTCATCTGATCTTTTCTATTTTTGCAATCGCGCTTTGCAGTCTTCGTCTATGAAATCTGACATGTACCTCCGACTCTCTTTCCGAAGAAAAGCGCCTGCGATATAAAAGATGCTACTCCTTTCAACTGTTAGAAGGAACGAATTTAATTTTTAAATAAAATATATTTGGCATTGCAGTCCGTTGTACTTGCCTGAATTACGAAGTCTGTGAGCGCATCCGCTTTTGTAGAGAATAGGGTCGTAACACAGCGAAGAACGCGTAATGGTGTCCCTGTCTCGTTAAATTTACAAGTATTTTCTGAGGTTTGTAACCTTCATCATTCAAAGTTCTAGGACGCGACATGTTGCGCCTTTGCCTTGTTTTCAGAAGACTGAGCTATTCCTTGTTATTTGCCGAACATCCAGTAGGGGGAGACCCTGTTGTTGGTTGTTGGTTGACCTCCAGTATTGCTGCGAAATCGTTGGTGTTCTACCTTTCAGCTTGAGGTGCAGACATCTGGGCTTTCCCAGCAGCTCTTAGGAAAACCTTCGCCCAAGTTCTGAAGTTCACCCAGTTCAGAGAAGGCGGCTGCACACTACAAACAGAATATGTGTATCTGAAACAACACTCAAGCAAGCGCTCAACTGCCTTGTCAGTGTTTCCATTCTCGTAGTGGAAAAAACAGCTTCTTGTAGATGTAGTCCGTTTAATATTTTTGCGGGGGGAGGTTGAGCAAGGCCTGTTTAAATTGATGTGGCCTGAAACGGCCTGAAACAAAGCATCCCTTTTTCACCGGAAAGTTAGCTTTTCCAAAATCGCTTGTTTGAACGTACGTGTAAACGTGCTCATCTATTTCTGTTACCCACCACGTTCCTTTTTCTTTCCAGAAAAGGTTACTGTCTTGACCCGAGCTGATGTTTTCCATGTGTGTTTCACAAGATTTGGTGCGAACTAGTTACACCAGAAATGATAGTGACACTGCATCTTGTTACCGTTGGGTCTGCTGTTAAATTTTACAAGTGACATTTTGCAGGCTAATAAATGATACCTTCTTTAAATACACAGGAAGCACCGATTACATGCTGTGATAATTCCCTGCTTTGGAATGTATACAACACGTATATAGCCCACGTGTATACAAATTAACAAGGGTATCGATTAAGAATATCTGTTTGAACTCTGTCGCAATTAAATCAGTATTAAAAAATAAACAGATCAACAAAAGGCTTTTTCTCTAGTCATACACTTCGTCTACTGTTGTACTAATCAATGAACCTTAAACAATTACTGCCTATTTCTAAGTTTTACAGTCCCGTTGTGTATGTGGCTTTTGCGTTTAGCTTTATTTTTGTTTGTTCAAGGCACCGTCGAGATGCGCCAAGGAACATTTTTCAGTTCATGTTACTCAGACATTGCTATTCCAATTAATGATATAGATGATTAGCAAATCTGAAACAGTAATATTGTGAAGCATTTTTGTGTTTTAATACTGAGCATCACCCATCTTCAATCAGCTGTAGTGCGTTTTTGTTTTAAGAATACGCGTCTTGAACTGCTCTCGACACAAACTCTTCAACGGGAAACAGTTCTTCAGAGGAAATTGTTATTGTTATTGTCTATTGTTAGACTTAGGGGAAAACAAACGAAACATGTTTTCCAGATCATAAATGATTTTAATATTTCTATTTAGATCTTTATTTTCAGACCTGCTGCTGCTAACGAAATGGACCGATTTTCCCTAAATGTTTATTAGCTCTACAGTTAGGTACACCTATACCTCTCGTGTTACTGTTGCCCTTTCTGATTCCCAGATATCGAATGTGAGACTGTTTAAGGAGCTTCCCATTACATTAGTTATTCTTCTTGTTCCTGATCTTCTTCTTGATTATCATGTTTGCTGGGTATCGCAATAGCTAAAATGTCTTCAAAGTATTTTGTAACGATAGTTGCGTCTGAGATAAAGGTGATTTAACTTCAGAAATAATTCGAATGTACCTGAATATTGTAAATATTTTTTTAACCAAATGTTGTATTTTTGACCATGTGGTGCACACTTGAAAACTCTTCGATCTGCTTTTCACAGCTCGTTCTAAACTTGTATTAACAAGCGCAATACCCAAAAAAAAAACTAACGAGGCAACAAATGCCTTGGCTTCTAATAAAAAAAATTGGCGCTAGATGGGTAAACAAGTTCTAGGGTACTAGAATCAAGACATGACACCTAAACGGTTTGTAAGAGTTAATTTTGGTGAGTTTATGTCACTTCCCCAGTGAGAACTGCTCAATAAGGTTAAACTGTACATACCGGAATAGACCGTGCTTGTGAGGAGCAGCCTTTTGTGAGTGCAGCGGACCAATGAAATCAAACACCAGCTTCCAGCGTAACCAGCTGGATTGACGTGGAAGACGCGTCAAATTAATCGGAGCAAACTTCAGCCTGCAGGATAGACAAATTAGCGTTTATCGGATGAAGATCACCTTGGTGCTTTTGTCCAGAGCCATACCTTTTAAAGTAGTTCTTTAAAAGTGGGAGTTAAGCATCGGAAGAAGTACTTCTCCTCCAGGCTTCGTCTCCCGTCCTTCGCTTCCTTCAGCAAACCGGAGAAGCTGCGCTTTTTCAGCCATCGAAGGGCAAATAATTCAAAAGAAAGCATCTTGAGCAGCCGGGCAAATGGGTAAGCCTTCGCTCAGTTCTGCATGGTTCTGCATGGTTCAGTGGCAGAAAGATGATAGAAGCAGAACTTGTTTTGCACGCCTGCATAACGTGAGAGCTAAGCATAAAGTTGAACTTCGGCTGTAGTTAAAAAGATTTGGTGCAGTATCTCTTCTCCCGGTTTAAACATATATTGTAATGTATGGCTTTAATTTACTAGCTTTCGATAGAAGTTAATAGCAACGTTACTATATTTCTAACTTACAGGTTTCTCAAATGCATAATTATTATTTATTAAAAAAGCGATATCGGGGGTATTATTCGTGTTTTGCGCCTTAAAAAGCAATGGCATGAAGGAAGACGAATAAACAACGTGCAAAAGTGAAATATTAATATTGTAATAAATCTATTATTATGCACAAGCTATTTATTTTGGAACGCCGTTTTTCCATGATATAAGTTAGGGCACTCATGGGAAGCGTTAGTGTTTTGACAGCTGTTTTTATTCATTTCTTATTTTCTTAAATGTTGACATTTATCATGTTTATTTCTTTCCTTCTTGCAGAGCAAACCTATGGAGAGGTAAATCAGTTGGGCGGCGTATTTGTCAATGGAAGACCTTTACCTAACGCTATCCGACTGAGGATCGTGGAGCTGGCCCAACTTGGAATCAGACCTTGCGACATCAGCAGGCAACTGCGCGTCTCCCACGGCTGTGTGAGCAAAATCCTAGCCAGGTACAACGAGACCGGGTCCATCTTACCCGGTGCCATCGGAGGCAGTAAACCCAGGGTTACAACCCCCAATGTAGTGAAAAACATAAGGGAATACAAACAAGGTGACCCCGGCATCTTCGCCTGGGAGATTCGCGACAGGCTGCTCGCAGATGGAGTGTGCGATAAATACAATGTGCCCTCGGTGAGCTCGATCAGCAGGATTTTAAGGAACAAGATCGGAAACCTCTCCCAGCCTAACCAGTATGAAAACAGCAAGCAACCCCCTCCCCAGTCGGCGCTTTCTTACAACCACATTTATCCATATTCTTACCCGAACGCCATGTCGCCCACCGGGACCAAAATGAGTAATGCTCCCGGCGTGCCTGTCACTGCGGGCCACATGAGTATTCCGAGGGCCTGGCCTTCTGCTCACACTGTCACCAACATCTTGGGGATTCGAGCGTTCATGGATCCAGCAGGTTGGTACCTCAATCATCCCGCATACGTTCTTGTTTTCGTTGTATCTTTTCACTTTGCACATCGGGTTACAGTAATGCAATAGCACAGGGTGACCTGTAAATCCTTTTTTTTAAAAAAAACTTGAACTCAGAGTCCCAGGGAAACAACTTTAATTTCCCCAAACCAAGGTTACAACTACGAACTATTAACTCCTTCTGCAAATAATGATAAGGCTGCATCGGCTTCATACGGGTGTTTTATCCTAGATTTGTTGCTGGTTTGTTTGTTTCTATTTAAGAAGTGGGTGTATTGTGATAGAAAAATTTAAAAATCATCTTGATCCACTGAAAAGCAAACACTCGTGTTCCATAAACAGATAAAAATCGTCATATCTGCTTTAACGTGAACTTATACACGGGTTACAGTTGAAAAGGGATTTTAAAGGCCTTTTACACAACATTGTGATTATAACGTCACCAGTCTAGACCCAGAATGCAATAAAAAAGCTTGGATGTCAGGCATTTGTTAGACATGTAATCGTATATTGTTTGGAAAAGTCTATTGATAATGCCAATGATTTTATGTTAAAAGCCATAATTTATTAAATAAACAATATAAAATAATATTGATCTCAAGATTTTTACAACTTGCTTGCAGTTTTCAAACGTATGCTTGAAGTAAACGACCTTAGATGAATTTGAACATGGAGCCGTTCTCTAAAAATCTAAACAGTACATTCAACGGGCACTTCACGGAAACCTGCTTTTTTAAAATTATCTTTCCCTTTGTTAATAGACGTTCCAAAATCCAATTTCAGAAATATTATTTAAACTGCCTTAACAATATTTCCGGATGAAGGAAATGTTTAAATGCAACTCAAGCATTTCCAATGACTACCTCTACAAAATGCATCCGACGAATTACCATATTTAGATGTGATTGAACATATTGCTATTTTTTTAAAGTTTACTATAAATCCCATAAACCCGTACAAAACATTAAGGCCTTCACAGAATTTGTTCTAAAACAAAGCCTTGAATTTGGAATGGATATGAATCTGGGTGACACTAAATACTGTTGGAGTACTCGAGATCGTTTGTCGTAGTATTAGTAGTATTGGATAATTAACACTTCATGGTTGTTTCAGCAGCCATCGCTGGTACCGAGGGATACCCACCGAAAATGGAGGACTGGGGTAGTGTTAACAGAACTACTTTTCCTACAGCTCACGGCGTCAATGGCCTTGACAAATCAGCCATAGACAACGACATTAAATATCCACAGGTAAGCACAACAGACGAATAACGCATGAAATACCCTAGAATAATAATAATACAAAATTCTCCGAAACATGTCTTTCGGAGCTTTACAACATGTTGTCAGGTGCTGTTTGAAATCAGATAGTGATAAAATGTTTTCATAAACTAAACGTTCAAAATGGATCTCGAAAGTCAAGTCATGTGCGTAAAGGGAGACATTGCAGAGATTTTTCTTGAAACAACTTCACAAGGAGCCTACAAAGAGATATTCTGTAGAATATTTATACAGTATCTATCCTGGAACAAATAGGTTATTACAGATATTTTGCAATATCTGACAGAAAGAGGATTTTCTGTATGTTCGATTTTAACCCCCGTACGGATAAAGTATCCTTATTTCTAGATATTCTTATGCAACGTATGTCGATCCTGTATCGTGAACTTAGTTATGAATAAATAAAATCAAAGATAAGTCAGATAACTGCTTTTCTCGGTATCACCTGTCTCTCTCTGTTCTCGCTATATTCTTCCAGATGTATACATAACGATCGGTTTACTTGAAATATTAATGCGGCGGACGCGAATGAAATTAAAACTAGAGCGATTGTATTATTTCGCCTGTTCGTGTTTGCTAAAATGTAAAAATAAATAAATACATAATAATCATGTTTTGCAGCCTTCTTCCACGCTGTCCAGTTATGTTCCAGCTTGTGCCTATTCCCCATCCAATCAGTACGGGGTCTACAGCGGGCCTGCAGGTAGTTACGTGACCCCGGGTCACCACTGGCAGTCCCAGGGCACGGCTCTGTCCCACCCAGCGAGCGGGATGACGATGCACGGAGGAGAAATCCACCCCCCACTGTCCTTCAAACATCCATCAAGAGACGGTAGGCCGCATACTGTTTTACAGCTACAGGAATACACCCAGCGGTCCTTCCATCATTTTGATATTGCGGTAGAAAAACACAGAGGAGCCGCTTGCCTTATTTAAATACAGTAAAAACTCGGTTCAACGGATCTCGCTCTGACGGGTTTCGGATTTAACGGATGCAATCTGTAAAGGGGGATTACGTGAAATCCCAAATACCTGACCTTCCGTTCAATAACAGGGGAATGCACTAATAATAAAATCTAACGATCTATTTTCTGCTTTCAAGTAGTACGTCCCCTAAATACGGCACAGGTTCGAAAACTCAGGAGTATCAGTGGTTGTTTATATAGGGATAATGCAATGGTTTATGATGGGTGCGTTTCATTTGCCTTAGCGAATGTTATACAATATATTTAGGACACGTGAAATAGAGAGCTTTTATATTTATGATAAAAAGGCTCAGGAACAATTTTTGTGTTGAATGTAATTGTTTAAAGTTTAAGTTTAAGTCAAAGATCCAGGAAGCATGTACAGTATATACATTTTATTCTCATATACTTTACAGTCATGGTAGGTTTGGGGCTAAAAAATAATTTGTGATTTTACGGACATTTGGCAATAATTGAGACCCCCCTTTAAGTCCTTCTCCCCTTTAAGTCCGTTAAATTGAGGGTTTACTGCAATTTATAAGAACCATTATACATTATATCAATTGAAAATTGGACACTACTATTTCTCAATAAAAGGCCTACACTAAAGTTTATTCATAAATTATATTAAGTACTTTCAGAAGTACTTAATTTCTCAGATGATTCACGTCTGCATAACATTTTCTTGGACTAGTATTTGTGAAATATGCAATTCATGTTAAAATGGCTGTATTATTGGCCTACCATAGATTTATGTAACTCCTCAATAGAATACATTTCTGTGATGTAAATCCGGCTATTTTCCCCATTTATGTTTGTTGCCACTGGGAAAAGGTCAATTTTGCCTGTTATGATGTTCCCTCAAACAATTTGTAATATCTGAAAGCTTATACAGTAGAAGCCTTGGTTATGGCTCAAATTGAAGCTAACACATTGCAAATGAAATAATCTATTTGGTGGTTCTGGAAATCAGTAATCATTTCACTTTGGTGTCATGCAAAAGTTCTTTAAATTAAAAAAAAAGTGATCAAATGTTTCAGTGCTTCACCTTGCTTTCAACTAGATTAAATCAATGACTTGCTAAGGAACAGAAGTTATGTTGTAATACTGGACCAGTGGTAGATTTGGGCTCTATTTGATACAGCCAAGCCAAATTTGAAAAATAATTGTTTTTTGTGTTCTCAATGTAATCGTCATTTTGTCAATTTACCATAAGTAAACTTTCTGTGTAAATAATCTACTGTTCCAGATTCTAAACAATTTTTAAAGCACACGAGGAAGCTGCTTATGTGAGATCTAAATAAAACTTGGACATTATGCTAAAACATTTACAATTAAATACATCTCTGGAGTGTCTCGGTGCGATTCAGGTGTCCTGGAATTAGCCTTTGCGACTTTGCAAATACAGAAGGTGAAGATATGGTATTTATTACCTCTCTACCTTTCTAAGTATCTAGTGAAACCATAGATCCGGATAACCTGATACTGGTTCTGTGCCAGGAACAGTCAGCAGTACCACTCACCTTCGCCACACAGTGTGTAATGTCATGTGCTTAGCTGCTCTCAACCAAACAGTTTTCCTGCAATGTTCCCGCATAATTATTTTCAAAATGTGCCATGTAGCAAGTCAATATGGTTGTAGAAGTACACAGAGTACTAAGTGAATAGTACAATTTCTGCGCACTGCTGCAAATTATATTAATAATTCATACGATGTTATTTAAATCTGTAGTTTATGTCCTCTGTGTTTCACATAACTGTATTTGTGGGTCCAGTTTACTAACTCGCAATAGATTTATTAGACGTGAAACACAAATGCAAATCAGTTCCAACTGTCATGTAACTCTAGGACTTAACATATAACCCTATACCCCAATTTAAAATGGCGGGGATAAACATCTATTGCTCTAGCGTGGCTCCGTTTGACAGAGAATCTGTGTAAAACCCAAGGGTGTCTGCGCAGTGTGGAGATGTTAAGACTAATTCGGTAAAAACACTGGATAATAAAACGAGGTCTGCCATTTCAGTGCAGAAAGGCTGAACTGTGTGGTTGTCGGCTCTGTGTTCAGTGATGAAAGGACCCGCCTACGAAGGCGGCGCGAAGCAAGCACTGGTGATTTTTTAATGAGCCTGATTCTTCCAGATGACAAATACAGCGAAGTGTTCGAACCGCCAGCATTTCCGCGATTGTCAGCGTGACAGGTCGTAGGCGATGAAGCGCGAGGACTTTATCTGCTTCTAAAAAAATGTGAAATGCAAGAAGGGCCCGTTTAAGTGTGCTACTACATCCGATTTTCGATTTTTATTTTTTCGCTTCACTGCTTCCCGTTAAACTTTAACCAAAAAATAAAACTCAAGGGCAAGGTACTTCACTTAAAGTGCATCAGTAAAATGCTGTGCTGTATAACTGGTCATACAATTTATTTGTATAAAAGCATTCAACCAAATGTATTATGGATGACTGAATTCCACTTAAAGGAAAACTTTTAATTAACGCCTGAGATTTTCATTATAGTTTCCCTACTGTATATTCCCTGACAGAGATTTTTTAATAGCATTGTCCGTTATTACAAGCTAAATGCGGTATATACTTTTCTACATAAGAGTGTAAAAAAGATTACATTTCCCGTTAACCATCGAAGAAAAATAAAATAAATAAAATAATTTTATGATAGATATTAACTGGAGTCAAGTTCAATTGACGTCTCCCCATAGCGCGAATAAGGGCAGCACCGCCCAAAGTGTAGCAACACACAGAGAATAATATAAAACGTCTTCCAGCTGAGGTGTTATCACAAACAACCAATATATGTGGCAAAACTACACCGTAAAGTCATTAACTGAATGTAATTTAAAGTCAGATATTCCAAAATAAATATGTTAATTGTTCCTTTAAAATAAATAAGAATAAACTTTACTCACATCCAAGGTTCCAGTAACATAATGATACAAGTTGTTGTACAAGATCTATGTTTAACTCTGAAACGTACGGATTCACATTATACAGTACTTCAGGCCATTTTGTCCCTTGCTACGTGTACCTAGCCGCAAAGACAAAAATAAATATCGAAAACGAAAAGACCCGCGAAATACAATGGAGAAATATGAAACCCTAAGGCTAAGTGAAGAACCTATCTTCCATGAAAACAATTCTATGATTATCAAGGATAAAGTAAGAATTAACGAATGTTTTCAGTTGAATTAAAATAAGGAGAACCCCAAGCCGCGGTTTGGTCAAAGGTAAAATGAAGAGATTCCTGTTCTTATAACCTAGAGGAATTTTTATTTCAAAAGTTAAACACGATCTTTTTAAAACAAATGCAAAAGGACAAGAAGAAATGAAAAATACATCTAAAACGTGAAATCCTTGGTAAACCAAGTTGGAATCAACTCGATTTTGTTGAGCATGAAAAAGAAGATTACTTCAATGGTGAAATACATACAGGCCTGATATAAAAATAACTTAAACTTTAATATTTACATATATTACCTCCTCTGAAAATACAATTGTTTGTGTTTTATACAATTCTTAATTTCCTCAGTTACACCAAATTTTCTTCCCTTTACTAAACAAGATAATATATGATTGTTGAAAAAAAGGCTATTTACGTCATGTGGAAAAAAAAACTGCGAATCTAGAAAGAATTTTCTATGTACAGTTTTAGAGAAAATAAGGTTTTGAAGTGAAGTGTGCAGTACGTGCAGAAATCAGTACGTGCGCAGCATGTAGAAATATGAACATAGAACTCAAATTGTTGTTGCTGTATCGGTGTCCTGAGTGAATAAACCATGTCTTAGGGGCGGAACAGAATCAAGCCTTTTAGAGATGTTCAATGGTTTTTGGATCATTGAGTTTTTCTCCAGAAGAGATTAATGGTTTGTTATTAAAATACTAATTTTGTTTTTATTCCGCAGGTGATAGAAAACCCCCCAGTTCTTTAATCAAGCAACAGCATGAAGCCTTGAACGGCGTACATGGACTCAGTCTTCCTACCTCATCTCCTTAACTTTGAAAAACAAAGTCCACACAAATCAAGGACCCAAAATGTAGCGCATATGCAACCGAAGCATATATATTTAAAGCGCATTTCAAGAATTCAAACAGTAAGTAAAAAAGTACTATATTTATAAATTGCCAGTCAAAGTGTTAAGTCAAGATAGGGCGTGCAAATATGATTCCAAAGTAGCCTTCTTAGAAATTGTTTCTCAGAAAAGCAGAAGAATGTAAAATGACAAAATGAAACGTAAATTTAAGTTTACCGTGCCTTTTTCAAACGGCGTTGGTGCTTGGGAGTTTTATCCTTTTTATTTCACGTCTGCAAAAAAATAACAACATTACAGACTATGACATCCCGTTATCTGATATATTATCTTATTTAAATCAATAAAAAAATTGACGAACCCTTTTAAGTCTGCGCACGCCCTACCTTTTATGTTTTTGGGACAGAAAACCGTGTCGGTATTTGTCGATTTTTAAGACCATCTGTAATCGTTAAAATCTGGCTTTTGCAAAGCCAAAAAAACAAATACAAGTTTCAAAGGATGTGAACAAGATCATTAAATGTTGTATATCGGATTGTAAATGTAAGATGATTTGCGAAAGCTTGAATTATATATTTTTTATAAAACCATGTGTAAATATGCTAAATAAAAGCGTAACAAAGCAAAATATGTTCCTTTATTAACCAATAACCCGCTGACCTCCACCTCAAAGCATGCGCAAATATGTCTTTGATTTACTGAGGGTTAAGCGGTCTTTGATTTAAGGGAAAACGAACATAAGAGATTCGAAGAATATAGAATGTCTTAACCATAATACATACATACAGTGTATTATTTGTTACATACAATGGCACGTTTCTAGCATATGTATTGTAAATATGATAAGTTGTAGTGTTATTTGATGACTGTGAGGATGGTAACACGCTTTTTAAAGAAAACCAAGTGGAAACGGTACCAAAAAAAAAACAAACTAGATTTATAAAACTGAAATAAAAATGGTGGAATCGGTTTCCTTCTTTTGTGGGTGACGGTGTTCTATTCTTTTTAATGCAGTCTACCCAAGCCTTCCCCAGTTAATGATGCCTTACAGTTCTCGGCGCCTCTCATAATGGTATCGTTGCCCAGGGTTTACTGGATGAGAGCCATGAGACCACTGATATCCCTCTCCTCTTTTTAAAATTAGGTTTATTGGCTGGAAATTGATATATATAGAGAGAGAGATATATTTATAATGTGTGTGTTTGAATAATTTGAAAATAAATCGAAAATGGAATGGGCTGAAGGAGATTTCAATTGTGCGTGAAGCCGACTGTTCTTTCCATTCACATGAAAATCCTTATTGGTACCGACAGCAGTTGAGCTCAGAAGAGCCGTGTTTCGATATGGTTTACTTGTTTATGCACGCACAGAATTTCCTTGCAAACGCACATACGCACATAAGCACACATACATGGGATACTACATAGTCTACATGTAGCGTTCCCTTTTTCCTTACATTAATACATTCGAAAACATCGATCTATCCTAATGAAAGCACAATTAGTGTTGCGTGCCTCACATCAAAACCGTACGACATACGGAGCAAAAGTAGTATTATCCCCCTAATCAATTGAAACTGGCATATGCAGAAATACAAAAGAAACATACTGTTTAAATACTAAACTCTATTTAATAAAAGTTTTCTTCAATCTTAAGGGTATTGCTGATTTTTTTTATTATTATTTTACTGACAAGCTTCTCAGTGGACCTGTACGTTTTTTACAAGGCACGGCGGAAACAAAATGTTTTAATAATTGTCAACAGGTTTCGTAGTACTTGACAGAAGCACGTGTTGCGCTTGGGGTATCAGCAATCCCGTATTTACTGCCGTGTGTGGTCTGCTACTTCTTTTTTTTCATTTACTTAAGGCATATACGCTTCCACATTTCTACAGGCACGCAAGCTACAGTATATGTGAATTTATAACAGACTCCAGAAACCTCGTACAAAGATGCCATTTTGTTTCTCATCTAGATTTACAGACACACCAACAAATACACATGCAAATATTTAATTTGATTGGATTTATTGGAAATACTTTACACTCGATGGATAAAGAACATCGTAATAAAGCTCTGAGTTTAGATCGCTGTTTTTACTTCTACTGTATGTGTCGCACATAAATTTTAAACGATAAAGTCTTTCGCGAAACTCTGCGGGGTTAATAACTCACGAGTTTGTTTTCACGTCTTTACATCCAGGAAATAAACTATTAGAACACATCAGAAAAATATATCCTCAGTAAAATCTTGAATTTCTGATCCACATAGAAACCTATAAACCAGTTTCCTCTAAGGTCTCATTGACATTGTTCTTTGTATCTAAGGCAAATATATTATTATATATACTATAGGATATATCACGCTTATTTGTTTCTGGCCTAAACATACATTTAATGGTGATTCAGGTGAAAGGTTTATTAAGTAAACATAAGACAGATGTAATATAAGATATATAATATCTTACTTCACCCCCCAAAAAAAAAGAATATACAAATGTAAGAATATTGCCACTTTGGAGTACCAACAGTCCATTAACTCATGGTAGTGTAAAACTTTCCAAGTGACTTTTACCAGATAAATTACAAAATATTGAAATCAGCCGGCAGTATTTGTTATGCTAGTTTAAGGGAACACATTCAATGGTCTGATTGCAAACAGAGCAGATGAATATCCACTGGCGCTGCGAGACTAACTGAAAAACAATATAACTGTTTTAAATAATTTACTAAATAACGCATTGTAGTTTTGATCCTTTTTGTAGGCAGTGTGGAACTATTTCTTAGAAATACTTAAACTTAGAACAATAATCTATGCACAGTTTTTTTTTTAACACAAGTTAACAATTTTCTTCGTGATTTAAATTCAACTGCCATGGTCAGTCCTTGGTTGTTAGGCTTTTTCAGATTGGCACGAGAAAACATATTGTGCTCAATTTCGGGAATTAATCTCTCCAGTGTGCGGTGTAATATTTAGTAACAACAATCATTTCGTTTCATTGGTTTCCCAAATATTTTAATACGCTAAATTCTATGGACATATCACGTTACCGAAGGAAACCGAGAACTGAAGTTACTGCTGGGATTCCAAGTTTCCTGACTGACATTCTCCACTGTGACAGAGGTCACATCTAAGGTTTATGAGGAGTGTGATAGGCTCAAAGGATTGCTTTTTACGGTTTGTGCTCAGATTGGAGGGGTGCTTGCTCTAGTATCCCTAAGTCTCTGAACTCCACTGTATCGTATCAAGTGTTAGCTAAGCAATCAGGAAATATGCTTATCCCAAAGCCCTAAAGCAAACAAGATAATGTAGCATGGGAATAAGACTTAACCTCATCATTTCTTGTGATTTATCCCCCTAGTTACTACAGTATAACGTCTTATGGTGAACAGGTTGATTTAAAAAGAAATAAAAACTGGCAATTTTGTTCTTCGATCTTTCGCAATCAAGACGTAAAAAGATTGCCTTAGCTTTGGGATTTTCATTTGTAATGGTGAAATTAAAAATAACACACGGACGTCAGTGTGTTTCCCTGGAGCACCGCAAGTTTGTTTTAGACATTCAATTTTCTGGACCGAGTCACTGTTCTTACGTGCGTTTTATCTGAAATTCATGTAAACATTTCTACAAAAAGCTGTTTTAAAAATCACTGTTTTCACCCGTTATAGCAATAGTATTGAAGTATTTTAAAATATCCTTAAAAACACAAATATTTGCATAGCTGGCACGTAGTTTGCGATCACTAAAACGATGTCTCTGGATGACTTGTAAAGCACAATAGAAGTCCCAATTTAAATAGCTAAAAAGAAACCTAAAAGTTTATTTTAAAATACATCACACCCAAAATTAGATATGATATGGATGAAATTAGACACTCTTTTGCGATAACCAATTGTGCAGTGAGAATAAATTGAGGATATTTTGAGAATAGTTCTCCAAATAGTTAAGCACATTAATATATGTGCTTACTTTTTGAGAAGGACGTGAAACCAGCAGTTTCTGCTCAGAGTACACCACTAGGCCCTTCTTGCCTGTAGCTTAGTCACTAAGGCAGTCTAACAATTCATTCGAGATACCCCAAACTGTTCGCATAAAGATGCGTTTTCTGTTCTCTCTTTAAATGGATTTCATTTTACTTTGCACTTCCATTTTCTTGTTTCACTACTGAGTTGAAAACAGCCGTATGGATTGATTTTTCTACATCCCTTAGGTTTTTTATACAGTAGGGTCAAGCTCTTCTCTGTCTACTTAAAATTTGGCCATATACTGTATGGCACCACCGAGTTAACAGAAATCCTTCTTGTTGCCTTTCTATAGACTGTAATATTTATATCTGTACTATTCTAAAGTAAGGTGACCAAAATGGAATGTAATACTCCAAATGAGGTCTTACTGGTGCATTGTAAAGTTAGAGCGTAACTATCCTTGATTTAAATTACATACCATTTTCTATAACTTCAAAGTTTTGTTTGCTTTTTATTCCTTTCCTAAATTAGAAGAGAGCATGGAGGAATCCACTTTCATTCAGCTCCTACACAAATTACATATGATCAGAATGACAAGTAACTAAGAGTGCCTATCAAAGGTTTTCACCCCCTTTGTCTGTTTTGCATTTCATGGTGTTACTATATTGACTCGTATTGTATTTAACCAAGATTTATTTTTGCCATTGATCAACATAAAACACTCTATAATGTCAAAGAGAAAACAAAATTCTACGGATGCTCTTAAATTATAAATCTAACACAGAAAATAACCGCAAATGTATTCACCTTCCTTGAGTCAGTATTTGCTAGAGGCACCTTTGACAGTCATGAGAGTTCTTGAATGAGTCTCTACCAGCTTTGCACATCTGGACATTGCAATGTCTGGCCATTCTTCTTGCAAAGTTGCTCAAGCTCCCTCAAGATGAATGGGGACCATTGGTGAACAACAATTTTCAACTCATGCCATAGATTCTCTTTTGGATTAAGGTTTTGACTGGACACTCCAGAATACTGACTTTTTTGTTTGTACTGTATGTTTTGGGTCATTGTACTGTTGTAAGATGAATGTTCTTCCATGTCCAAGGTCTCTTGCAGACTAAAGCAGGTTTTCCTCCAGGATTATTCTGTACTTTGATGCATTCATGTTGGATTCTATCTTCACAAGTCTTGCAGGCCCTGATGCAGTGAAGCATCCCCTTAGAATGATGCTACCACCACTGTGCTTCACACTAGGGATGGTGTTCTCAGTGTGATGTGCAGTGTTACACTTGTGTCAAGCATAGGGCTTAACACTTGAGGTCAAAAAGGTCAATAATGGTCTCAGCAGACAATACAGTCTTCTTTCATGGTCTCAGAGTCTCCTACAGTACATGTCTTTTGGCAAACTGTAGTCAAGACTTGATACGTTTTTATTTCAACAAGGATGTTAGTTTTTCTACTCTTCCATGAAGCGCAGATTTGTGCAGCACCCAGGCAATTGTGGTCCTTCTCCCATCTCAGCCATGGAAGACTGTAATTCCTTTAGAGTTGTCATAGGCCTGAAGGTCCTCCTGAGTAGTGCCCTTCTCACCTGGATACTCAGTTTTTGAGGTCACCTGCTCTGCTCAGATTTACAGTTGTACCATATTTTCT